CAACTGACCGATGGCGACCCCATAGGGCTTTCAAGGCAAGAGGCGTTCACAGGTGGTTTGCCATTGCCTGTCTCTGCGTGGCGACCCTGGACTTCCTTGGAGGTCTCTCTTCCAAATACTAACCGGGCCGCCGACCCTGCTCGGCTTCCCAGGTCTGACCAGATCAGGCCATCCAGGCTAGGGGGCTATGACCGGGGGTGAATCAAAATCCGTGGCGCGTCGGTCTCTCACAAGTCCCGTGCGCGGTGACACACCGGCCGCCCTCCTAAAGCCAAGTGGGCCCGGATCAGGTTAGCGCCTGGATGGTCTCCGGGCAACTCAGCCAGCGGCGCGTGTGGCTGACTCCATGGAACCTCCAGGCTCAGGGGCAGTGTATCTCGGGATACCAGTTGCTGGGACGCCAGCCGTGGGGAAGGACTTCGTGTTCCTAACGCACTGGGCTGGATGTTGATGGGAAGTGGATGTCGGATCTTTAAACAAACCTCTGATCGGCCGCGATTGCGGTGTAGTCGTCAAGTAGCCACTGACCAGCCCGCAACAGTTGGACGCCGTTCTGTTCGACTCGGTTTTATTTTACTAGTCAACAAAATAAGGCTGAAGCGTCAAGATTCCTTCTCGTAGCACGAAATCAACAGTGAACGGAACTGAGTTCTCGGGAAATGGAGGCACAGGTGCGCTCCAAAAACCTTCCCAGGTGTGCCTGGCTTTATCTCTGCACAGCCGCAAAGAATCCGAAACAGAGATCAGCACGGACTTGAATTAGCTCGCTTGCAGTCGGAGGCAGGTCTAAGTTTAAAAAACAAACAAAACCGCTTTCCCCCTGTACTCCTGTGCTGTCAACTCGGAGTGACTCCGACTCGAAGGCTGGATTGCACTGGAAGAAAAAGGTTCTGAAACCCGAGGATATGCGGCTTGTGTGCCTGGTGGTCTCTCCCCTCCCCCAGCTCAAAAACAGGGTCGTCACTGCTGGGGACGGCGGGAAGTGGAACTCCGCGGTTTCTGGGGATGAATGACGAGTGGCCGGGATGGGAACGACGTAAAAACAACCTTTTTTAAAAAAACCAGAAGCGACTGAAATGTCACCGAATAGCGAGTCGTCGTCAGCGTCGGGATTTCCCAGCGGGGCGACCCGTTTTTCACCCCAGTCTCAAGCCCTCCTCCTGGAAAGGTCTGAGAGAATCAGGTTCCTCCGGTGCAACCCAAACGCGACGCCCTCGCTTCGATGCCCTTGAACCGGAGCCGCTGCTTCTGGCTGGACATGAAGCTCAAAAGAAAAGTGGTTTGTTTGTTTTCTGCTGTACATTCGATTACAGACCAAATGCTTTCAGACGCCCAGCAGGCGACGGGAGGCAAACGTCAGACTGCGATCCCTGCAAGCTCCTGTCTGAGAGAGCGAGCAAAAGGGACTTTATTTCGGAGTAGTGGCGGTGTACAGGCTGTGCCGAGGGCGAGAAAGAGCCGGGGTGGCCTTCCAGGGACACTAGTGGGCGAATAAACCAGCAGGGGCCGATCTGCTCTGGGGAATTCTGAGGGCGCGAGAAGGAGCCCGGGGCCGGCGATCGGCTTCAGGTGACTCACGAGGCAGGCGGGGTCGCCCCGGGGCTGGAAGGAAGGAAAGCGCCCCTCATGGGGCGGGGAGGTCCTCTGCCCCCCCTTTCCAGGATCGCCTTTCGGGATGGGGGCGGCCAGGCCCCGAGATCGGCCACCCGAAACGAAGCCCCTTCCCCCCCCCCTCCCGGGCCATCTGCAGACATTTAACTTGGCCTTGGGAGGTTGCGGGGCGGCGGGGGGGGGGGCAAGGTGCAGAAACCCCAGCGGCCCAGCCTGTCTGGAGGGAGAGGGCCGAGAGCTCCTCGTCCGTTTGTCCCCGGAGGGCAAGATTTCGGTGGCAGCTGCTGGAGGCCCCCTCCCCTGACCCCGGCCGATGCCCTCTGACCCCCCGCCCCCCAGCAGCCGCCTTCCCTCCGGGACTTCGGCCACACGAGCCTTCCTTGCACAGCTCCTTGCACAGCTCCGGCCGGGTCCAGCCCGAGACGGCTCGGATGATCCCCTTGGACCCATTTTGGGATGGCAAAGAGGCGAGATGGGATTTAGTCTAACGCGTTCTCGGGGACAGCAAAAAGTGGGCCATTTCTTCTTCGCTGACTGGCAAGAGTTTGGAATTGAATTTTTTTTTAAAAAACACATACACGTTTTAAGAACCACACTAGTGAATGATTCAGCTGCAACCTCGACGCCTTTTCTTTGAAGAGCGACTTCTGCGGAAACGAAGCCCGAAGAAGGGACGCCAAGATTCTCTGGCTCCAGGGCACCGGCAGTTTACCGCTCGTTTACTCTAGAGAAGCCCAGCTGAGTTGCCTCTGTGACAATTCCTGACACAGGAATTCCCTTTGGAGTAAATATGATCCCGAGCCAGGCAGGGCACTTCTGTTCCAGCGGTCCCGCCAACGAAACGGGTCTGGAGGTTTTATAAGGATATTCAGAGAAAGAAAGAAAAGGCTTTCCGCGTGAAATACTTGGGACATCTACGTCTTGTGAGAATCACGTTAGAAACTTCAATTACAGACCAGCCCGTGTGTTTAACTTCCCCTTGCTGTGTACTCGGCGGACAGAAGTCCCTCGGGAGTTTTTCCTGTACCAGCCTTAATTGCGCTCAGTGGGCGAAGGCGGCCCCGGCCCTGCCAAGCGGGAGAATTTAACTTCCGGTTGGGTTGTGACATCGCGAAAAAGACAAATCGTCCCAGAACCTGAACTTCCTGCCCTGTTTTCATTTTGAAACAAACAAACAAACAAACCCGCCTTAAATTCATTAAATCCTTTAAAAAAAAATCCCAGGGTGTTGCACTGATTTCATTTTAGAAAAGCTTTTCCTCCTCTAAATGTCCATTACATGAGCGGGGGGGGGGGGGCGCAGTAACTGTTTGTACACCGCAATGGCTGGAGATTTATTGGTTCATCTGATGCCAAGTCTGTCACGAATCCGGGCAGAATAATTCAGAAGTCTTCCCCTTTCTTTCCCCAACCGGGAGCAAAAGCCGGCTCTCACCCCCCCCCCCCCACAAAACGCTCATTCATGGCAGAATTTTAACCTGATTTGTTGGTCAATTTCAACTCGCTTAAAAACGCATCTAAATCCGGATGCCGGCGGAACCCGCCTTTGCCCTAGCACAGAAAGGCGAAAGTAAGTTTTAAAAGATGGGACTTAAACCCAGTTAGAAAGGGAGAGTCCTCGTCCCGGCCCCCCTCCCACAAGCCGACCTTTAACGCGGTGGGGGGGTTAATCGGGGAGCCGTGCATAATGAGGCAAAGAAACCGGCGCTCTGCCCCTTTAACTGGGGAACATCTGATTCCCTCATCTGGCAGATGGTCTCTGAGTCCAGATTAGCATTCATTGTCTTGAAATCTGTTTTCGCGTTGGTGTTATATAGATTTCAGGGGCAGATCTATACTCTTAGATCGCAGCACAAAAGGGACGGGGGGCGCGGGGGGGTGGGT